TTCCTTTAAATTTCTGTAATTAATAAAGTGCTGCAGAGACCTGCACTAGGATCACCGCTCTTTATACTAATGATCTAAATTCTGAGAATTCATCAAGTTTGCAAATCTCAAGAATTTTCTAGCAACTGCAAACACTGGAGATGCTACATATTAAATTGAAAGTGATGGATATTACATAAAATTCAATACTGGCCAAACACCAGTAGATGACATTTAATAACAACTACTTTCACTGCCTGCGAACAAAAATCATTCGGGTGTTCATGTTGACAACCCTCAAAAGCAGCCCGGTGGATCTGGTCAGAGTGAACAGTGAAACGTGAACCAGGTGCCACAAGTGGAAGCTGTTCTACGTGAGAACAGGAGGCACTTCTTCACTCAAAGGGCTGTGTTGTCTCGTTTGTGAACGTCCTTATTTCATAATGGACCGACTTCAAAATGAAAGTAGCAAAGTAGTGACAAGAATAATCCACAACACTATCAGTGACAACAAAGTAGTGCATTGGACAATTGTATGTCTTAATATTGTATGCTTTTAACTACAAAATAGGTCAACAGTGATAAATACGCTTTTGAATTCCATCTACAATCTACTCTGCAAGCAGAAACTTTAAGCTCAGCTTTTCTCATGTGTTTTATCTCTGTTTATCTCTTACTGGTACACAACATTCCGTACTGGTCTATACGGAGTGTCGTTGGCCAGGTATTTGCCTAGACCTGAATTCGGTCTATAGCCAGAGGTCACGAATCCGTCGGGAGCAGATCTCAAGATAGCGAGAAGGTAGGGAATCTGCTGGCTCACCTGCTTCTACTGCCCAACACCATTCCGGTATCCCTGGACACGCTATTGAGAGGCAGAATGTCTTTTTGACTATCTGAAATAAACAAGATTGGCCCACCAATTAATCTCTTGACGTGACGTGAGTTCCACTAACATCGGACAGTCTAATGTCAGAGGGGTGGCTGTCACCTAGGACCCCTATGAGCATCCCCCCCCCCCAACATAAAAGCACAGCCTCCTGCTGCAGTAAGCCCCTTCTGTATGAAGACACAAGGCTAAAGGGCAAGCTGCTGATAACCTCTATAAGGTTCATACCCAGCCAACAACAGACTCCAACCCCACTAGTCCCAGTCCATCTCTGGTCAAATCAA